GTCCGCAATTTTTTTCCGTTAATAGTGATCTTTTTTTTTTCTTCAATCGTATATAGATATATTGGTATACAGAGCTAGTATCAAATTCTAACAGAATCGAGCTACGTAAAAATTGTTCCAACCGTTTCGGAGAGATATGCGTTTCACTCTGTATCAACTCGCTCCTTCCGGAGCCATTTTTGTTTGTTTTTTTCCTTGTTTTCTTTTCGCTTCCTTTTTTCCCTTGTTTGTTTCATCGTTCGAGGTAAAATCTCGAGCTTCGTCTCACAACACCATTAAAAATCTTGTTTCTCTCTCATCATTATCATCTCATCTCACCATCATTATCATCATTATCATCATCATCATCATCATCATTACCATTATCATTATCCATTAGGAAATTCATTCGTCTTTGATTCAATAAATCGATCGCATTAGTGTGTACGTCTTACGTTAAATTATATAATAATTAAGGATCGAGCGGAAGTCGATCGATTGCAAACGTTCCGATTTAAAATACATACATATATATATATATATACTCGATTTCGCGCAGAATTCATGCAGAGAAACTTAAAAACATCGTTCTTATTCATTTCGTTATTCACAATTAAAAAATATCTATTCATCGTTTAAAACATTAAAAGAGATCGTTAATTCTAATGCAAATTAAAAAATTGATTTTTTAGAGATTAAAAAATTAAATTCTAAATACTAATTTAAATAGGTGTTCGTTAAAAAGAATATCTCGATATTTAAAATGATCAGTTAGAACGACGAGATCTTTGTTTTCGATGGACCAACTCCACTATGCGACACACGTTTTAAAAACTCAGGCAAAACTATCATAAAAAGAATAGCGTATCCTTGGCGAATCGTTACAAATAGTTGTCGATTCTAATCTGATAAGATGCGTCAAGAGCTGCTTTTTTTTGTTGAACAGTTCACCGGCCATAATCGGCAATTTTTTTAGGCAGTTAGGCGACTCAGTACTTTCAATTCATTTTTTGGAATTTAAAAAAAATTGATTATCTAAAATAATACAGCGAATCCTCGTACACAGAGTACCCAGGTTTTGTTATTCGACTGTGTCCTTTTAGGCTATTGTTAAACATTTTTTTAAGCTATATATAATCGATAGTAAAAAACATGTTTTTCTCGATAAAAAGGAGATACACTTAAAAAGTAATACAGTCGTTTTGTTTCTCTTCAGCTTTCTCAGATACAGGGAGCTCTACCTAAACGTATTTTTCCTCCCCTCTCTGCAAAGGTGATTAGATTATCATCATCATTATCGTACTCTATTAAATTACAGTAAATGGTACTATCATAGTGCGTAAAATGTGTCACTGCATATATATATAATATATGTATCGCAGCAGCAATAGCAGTCGATGCAAGTAGATAAAGTAGCAGTCTGCTGGCCGGTTCAGAATCATTGGACGATCTGTTTCTTTTCTTTCCACAATTTTCTCTATACTTTCAGTAAATACGAAGTGTGATAATAAAAAAGAGAAAGAAAAAAAAAATGAAAAACCAGAGATCGTCCAATGAACCTAACATCCACCAGATTCTGGTTCACTCTTATCATATATGAAAATCAATCGTACCGTTTTGGTCAGTGTGAAAAAATAAAAATGATAGTTCTTATATTCTGCAAACTACTGTGGACCACGTCAAGATTGATATTGTTTCTTTGTATTTGGTTGTATTTTTTTTTTCTTTTGTTTGTTTGTTTGTTTGCTTCCCTCAGGTTCACACATATAACGAACATTTACGTGTTTCTCTCGCATCCACTCTTTCACTCATGGATTCCATCGAAGAAGAACTCTCTCAGCGCAAACAGACGGGAGGAGAGAACAGGAGCATGCATAGCAGATGCATTCAGAGAAAACGAACCTGTTCTTTCTTTCTGTTGAATTCTGAGTTAAATAATCCTCGATTCTTGTTCCTGTTTCGCTCTTTCATTTCTTTCAAAAAATTCATTCATCATCTGTGTAATATGATACCTCACGGAGATCG